GGGCTGCATTGTGCAATTGTATTTCATTGGCATCACATCAACTGCAGAATCTCTGATGCTCACGGCTATGTCGTACGATCGGTATTTAGCCATATGCAACCCTCTTCGTTATGCTGCCGTGATGAACGGCCGGGTTTGTTGCCAGCTAGTGGCAGGATGCTGGATGAGTAGCTTGATGACCAGCACCGTGGGGATGTTTTTCTTGTTCCAATTTACGTTTTGTGATTCCAAAGAGATCGACCATTTCTTTTGTGATTTTTCACCCATGATAAAACTGTCCTGTAACGACACCAGCACTCTGGAACTGGTGACATTTATTATTGCTACGATATGGACGTTTGTGCCCTGTCTTCTGACCCTAGCATCCTATACTTGTATCATCACCACCATCTTGAGGATCCCTTCCCACACCGGGAGGAAAAAGGCCTTTTCCACCTGCTCCTCCCACCTCATCGTACTGACAGTTTTCTATGTGACCGTGATCACGGTGTATATGGTTCCAGCAGGCAACACTCCCAAGGTCCTACAGAAAATATTCTCTGTCTTCTACACAGTCCTGACTCCCATGATCAACCCCATCATCTACTGCCTAAGAAACAAGGAGGTCAATGAGTCCCTCAGAAAAGCTCTTAAACTGGTTACTTTCAGGCATAGGCATAGAAACTTAACGGACAAATTTTAGCACACAGTAAAAGAGTGATGAACTGATTTAATTTCCTAGTCAGGACCCATTAGAGTCCTTGAATATAATAGTCCTTCCTTCATTCCTTCCTTGATACAAAAATGGATATTGTAAGAGTCAGTCTTTATGAAAAGCGTGCTTCTTTTTTTCAAGACACACATTTTCAGTAAAGCACTCCTGGTCAGTCAGTCATCTGTACATGAAAACTAGAGTCCATATTCTGCAAAAAGCAGAACGTCTTCCGTCCGGCTCTGGATCCCTTCCTCTCGCACTATAATCGACGACATTCATCCTTCCCTGACTACAACCTTCTGCTTTCAATTACACCTCAGAAAAGGTAAGTGAAAAATATCGCTGCCAAAGTGAGCGGAGAATTTTTATTGGGCAGAGTTCTAGTTGGGTACACAAAAACTGAAAGTCTGTGTAAGGTCGGGGATCTCAGTGTCCTGCCATGTTAGATTTCCTGCCTTTTCATACATCTTTGCATGGTCAAGGCAACATTAAAACATCCATATCTCTGTTGATTCTGGCATCAATATACACGTCGATGCAGATATTCGAAGTGCAAACAGAAGATGTCTGGCCAAAATTTTCAAAGCCCACAACACTCAACTTCCCGATCTAACCCGAATACAAAGAAATGAACAATTTAAACAGAACAGGAAATGAACACTTTATAGTACTAGGCAACTCTGCAAATCTTAGCCTACATCCCAGCTTTCCTTGCTCCAGACAGAAATGTGCGTCATGCACGGAAATATATGAACACCAATGTTTGATTAAAAAAAGAATTAAAATAAAATTGTGCTGACTCTCCCTGGTATATCTGATCTTCCTCCAAATATTTGGGCCATGTTTGATTACCACAAAGTATGATCTTCGCCCTGATGAAGGGCCACATGAGTTCCTCTATGAAAGTCTTTATAGTTTGTTGCTCCATGTATGAGGCGCTGTTCAGAGGAATATTTGATTTGGGTAGCCCAATGTGACCCCTGAATTTAACTAAAATTAGCAGGCTAGTTTCAGAAAAAAATGTTTCAGGATTTACATGCTGGCCTGTAACTCACTCCCTGCATAACATTTAACCTGGTGTGAAAATCACTCATTTGTGGAAGATGTGTGTGTGTGTGTGATTTGTGCAGTGTGTGTAAGACCCATATTCAATATCCCCTGCTTATATTGGACGTTTCCAGTCTCCTATAAGGACACAAACAAGTGCACTGGCCTATAGAATCGTCTCTGAAAAAAAATCTCTCCTGCCGTTCCTCCCTCCTTCTTTCTTCTATTAAAGAGGCTCTTTTAGGTGTAAATAATTCAATGGTCATTGAAATGTGGAGTTAAACTTTGTTCTCCCTCAGCCAATGTGTGTGTCTTAACTACCAGGCTAAGAAGTTACCTTTAGACTTGCATCCTAGCCCCATGACTATTTTCCTACCAGGGCTATGTCTACACTGGTGGCTTCTTGTTCAAGAACAAGAACATCTTCAAAAGAAAGCTACCTTCCTCTAGCTGTAGAAAGTGAGTAAGCCTTGCTTCTCTTCCTGTGGCAGGGGCTGTGTGGCCAGTGAATGAAATTTGCTCCAGGGGAGCTACGGCTGAGATTTTAAAACCAGCCAGAGGATTTAGATACGAGCAACCAGCTCAGAGAGGAAGTAAAACCTGCCTCCGCTTCCATTAAGATAATGGTCAGGAGTGGCTAACAGACACAGAACTATTAAAAAGCCCTGGTCACTCCCAATCATTGTCCATACCTCCCTTTGCATTGACCCAGCTCATTCACCATGGTTGCCTTATGTACCTCAAGGCCTCACCTTTAACGACAATCCAAACAAGCGGACTTAAGGGCATGTCTACACAGCAGGGCTGAAGCCAAAATAAGTGACACAACTTGAGCTAAGTCAAAATAAGTTATTTTGATGCTATCTACACAGCAGGAAGTGCAAGGAAGAGAACCTTCCTCCTCATAATATATGGAAATATACCTATTTCATAGAGCTGGAAAGGACCTTGAGTCCATTCCCCTGCCCTCATAGCAGGACCCCCTAGAGGATTGAACTTACAACACTGGATTTAGTAAACTAATGCTCAAAGCACCAAGCCATCCCTCCCTCCAAGTGGAATCAGAATTACAGGACTCAGAGGAAGAAGTCCTTCAGCTTGACAGTATGTTGATTATGTCGAAATAACTGCTTGTAGAGTAGACATAGATGGACTATGTTATTCTGAAATAACACTGCTATGTAGACGTACCCAAAGAGTGTTGTTTTTCTCCAAGGAGTTTGAAATGAGAGAATGCTTCTGATTGGTTGTTCAGTCCAGGAGGAATGGAAAGGAGGACAGAAGGTGTGACCCCCTTGCCCTATATTCAACATCATAATATAATTAGGATTCGATTAATGCATAATTCTGAAGCTCTTTTGTAAGATGGGTCATATGATGTGTCATAGGAAAAGTTATGGTTTGCTGAATTTGATTCTCCTTTGTCTACGAATGTATTGATTTTCACATCTAAAGATGGGAATATTAACTATTTAGTTGCATTTCAGATGTAGTTTCACCTGATAAAGTCCCACTTGGAAATACACTTGCAGTCCAGATAAGTGTTTATAAAGGGCCTATTCAGGGTAACGAGCCATTAGGGAAACAACGGTCCTTAGGAAAAGCTTCACTCCTCTCTGGTGAGACTTCCTGAGAACACCTCAGAGAGCCCATCATTAAAAGTTGTGAAGATTCTCCAAGACCAGGGGACTGGGCCTCGTGTCTCTAGACTCCGTATGGGGATGTCTGTATTTTTCCACACACGGGTCTGCGAGCCAAGGTTTGAGACAGAGTCTCCGCCCTATGCGAAAGCTTTATATGAGAGGGCACAATCTCATTGTTTTTCTTCACATGCCACGCAGGAGGACTGCTGGAAAGATCTGAGGACCCAAGGCTCTGGTAGTGGAAGTACCAGACCCAGGCTAACGTGATGTCTCACCTGCGGATGGAAACCCGAGAAACACAACCAGCCAAGCAATTGCAGCTTCTGCCTTGAGAATCTGCCCATTTACGTGTATCACCGTCGGTCAGGGTGAGAAACTGGTTGTGCATTGTCAGTCTAACCAATGTGTTATTCTCAGTCGGTATTTTGGAATATCTGTTGGTAACCTGCTCTGATCTGTTTGCTGTTCACTATAATCTTTTGTCGTTAATAAACTTGTTTGTAGCTTTGCCTAAACCGGTGCGCCTTGCCGTGACGTGTCTGGGTTAAATATTTCAGAGGGGTAGCGGAGTGAGTCTGTAACAGGAACATTGTTTAAAAACAACAAATAGTACCGCAGCAACTTAAAGATGAACAAACCACGTAGCTTTCGGGAGCACAACCCACTTCTTCTGGTTAGCACACGTGTGTATGTTCCTCTCCGCACTGACGGAGGTGAGAATCAGGGAACAAAATCCTACTCATACCCCAGCCCAACTCCATCAGAGATCCTAGCAGTGTACACAAGAGGCTAGTCCAGGGGTCTCTCTGGGCTGCCCCATTCACACTGATAGTTTAATCCAAATAAATTAATCAAAGCTAGTGTGTGTACCTCCACACAAGCTGGGACTTTCACCTCGCAGGTGCAGGGGAGAAGCACCGGTGGCTGAAATCGCTTTCCTTTCAAATGTAATGAATTGCATTGTGTCATCTACCTGGTTTGATATGATGCTGGTATGAGAAAGATATTGCTAAATCCCAGCCTCAAAGATTTTATATAAAGTTAAAGAGAGCTGAAGAGAATCAGATGGGAGAATTCCGTAATTCAGTGGAGTTCCATTCTTTTGGTTCACCTATATTGGCAGCTCAACCCAGTAATTCTAGATTTCCTTTTTAAATTGTCAACTTCCAGCGGTGTCTACACTACAAAGTTGGAAAAAGATACGCAAATCGCGAACCACAATTTGTGTATCTTTTTCTGCTTTTCTTTTGGAAGAGACTTTTCCAAAAATTGGTGCGTCTACACGGTACCCAATTTTGGAAAAACCTCCTCTTTCAGCAGATCCCTTCTTCCTCATACAATGAGGCTTACAGGGATGGTGAAAGAACGTGTCCACTTTGCCAATTTTTTTTTCCAGAAAAGTGGACGTGTTCCTTGGACGCTGCACAGCTTTTCCTGGATACCTCTGATATCTCGGAAAAGACCTGCAGTCTAGACATAACCTCAGTTTCCTCACCGAGAGATGTAAAGACATGAGGTTGTCTACTCCAGATTAAAGCCAGTGTAACTGACAGCACAGCTGGACTGTGTTAATTCCATCAGTATTTCATGGATTCCTTTTTATCTAGATACAGATAATGGAGAAAGCCGAAGAAAGGAACCAAACGCTCATCTCAGAATTCATCCTTCTAGGATTTGGGAATGACCCTGAGCTGCAGCCCCTTCTCTTCCTCGTGTTTCTAGTGATCTACCTTCTGACTTTGGCCGGAAACCTCCTCATCCTTGCGCTAGTTGTGACTGATCAGCACCTTCACACCCCCATGTACTTCTTCCTGGGGAACTTGGCCTGCTTGGAGACCTGCTACAGCTCCGCCATCCTGCCCCGGCTGCTGGCCAGTCTCCTGAGTGGAGACAGGAGCCTTTCTGTGAAGGGCTGCATCGTGCAATTGTATTTCTTTGCTGTCATGGCAACTACAGAAAATCTGCTGCTCGCGGCCATGTCGTACGACCGGTATCTCGCCATCTGCCACCCCCTCCGCTACGCAGTGCTGATGAACGGCCGGGTTTGCATGAAACTAGTGGCAGGGTCCTGGATAAGCAGCTTTCTGGGCATCGCCATAGTAAATAATTTCTTGTTCCAATTAAGATTCTGTGATTTCAAAGAAATTGACCATTTCTTCTGTGACATTTCCCCCTTGCTAAAGGTCTCCTGCGATGACACCCAGACTCTGCAAATTCTTTCATTTATTGTCGCTGCTGTAGGGACACTTGTGCCCTGTCTACTGACCCTGGCATCCTACGTGTGTATCATCACCGCCATCCTGAGGATCCCGTCCGCCTCCGGGAGGAGAAAGGCCTTTTCCACCTGCTCCTCCCACCTCATTGTGGTGACACTTTACTACATGACCCTGGTCACTGTCTATGTGGTTCCAACAGCCAGCACTCCCTATGTCCTACAAAAGGTACTCTCGGTCTTCTACACGGTCCTGACTCCCATGATCAACCCCGTCATCTACTGCCTGCGAAACAAGGAGGTGAACGACTCCCTGGAGAAAGCTGTTCATAAGCTGGTTTCTTGCAGCAACAGGCGTGGAATCCAACAAGACAAATTTTAGCACAGAGTAAAATAAAGATGAACTGATATAGTGTCTTAGGCAGGAGCCGCTTGAGTCCTTGTGAAGAGATTACCCCTTCCTTCCCATCCCCATCCACCCCTCTCTTCTCTTCCTTCCTTCCTATCCCCATCCACCCCTCTGGTTCCTTCCTTCCTTCCTTCCTTCCTATCCCCATCCACCCCTCTTCCCTGTATCCACCCCTCTTCCTTCCTGCCTGCCTTCTTTCCATCTGTCATACATTAATAAACATTTATTTACACAAGACTTGATATGCTACGTCTAGACTGGCATGATTTTCCGGAAATGCTTTTACCGTAAAAGTTTTCCGTTAAAAGCATTTTCAGAACAGAGCATCTAGATTGGCACGGACACTTTTCCGCAAAAGCCCTTTTTGCGGTAAAGTGTCTGTGGCCAATCTAGACGCGCTTTTTCGCAAAAAAGCCATTTTCGCGATCGGGGCTTTTTTGCACAAAACAAATCTCAGCTGTCTACTCTGGCTCTTTTGCGCAAAGTTTTGTTCAAAAGGGACTTTTGCCCGAATGGGAGCAGCATAGTATTTCCGCAAGAAGCACTGATTTCTTACAGTAGAAAGTCAGTGCTTTTGCAGAAATTCTAGGAGGCAGTGTAGACAGCTGGCAAGCTTTTCCGGAAAAGTGGCTGATTTTCCGGAAAAACTGGCCAGTCTAGACACAGCCATAGTGTAAGAAACATTGTTTATCAAACCCTGGCTTTTCTCTAGCAAGGCGACCCAACCCCCACTCACACTACAGACAGGCCTGAACCACAGACTGTTAATTGTTTGTTGGTCCACCTGAACCAAGCACCTGGGCTTAGAAACTGCTGCCCAAACCTGCAACTGTTTGCTTCCCCGCACTGAATAAGGCCTGGGCCTGCTCTGTGTGTTGCTGCCCCACCCTGAATAAGGCCTGGGGTTGCTCTGTTTGCTAAGGCCCTGTCCTGAATAAGGCCTGGGTCTATAAACTTCTGCTGCTCCCTGCAGAGAGGCGGGGACCCTACACTGTCTTTGTGCTGTTTGGTGCCCTGAACCAGGGCTGGGCTTGGGAACTGCTGCTTGGCCATTGCATGGGCCTGAGCCCCTAGACCAGAGAGGGGGAAACCTCATTGGGATCCGGGGGCCGCTGACCCACAGAAAAATAAACCTCATTGGGGTCCAGGGGCCGGTGACCCACAGAAAAATCAGTCAGTCAATTTTGCCTCCATTTCTTTCCATGGGGTTATGTTCTGCTCTCCTCTGCATTTGTTGAATATACAGGATCATCATTCCATGTACCCTGTGGTAACAGCCCCTGATGGGTCATTGGGAGGGGTGGGGGTTGTGTCTCTCTCTCTCTCTTTGTAGCTTTCACAGCTGCCTATATTAAAGGCTGCAATTTTTTCTTAGCAGCTGTGGTGATTCCACAGACAGGTATTTCAAGACAGCACTCTGCTTCATTCATCCGAGCATGAACACCAGTGTTCAAATACCTCATGGAGCTCCACATCTTTTGTGTTGTTCTGGGTCTCTTCCACGTCCACTGAAGCTGGTTATGTTTGTTCTCTACTTAATGAGACCCTCTTTTTTTCCAGTGATGCCTCAGAAGAGTAGGCAAACCATGTTGCTGTCACAGTGAGTGGGGGGTGGGTTGGGTTGTGGTCTATGCCCATCTGTAGCTGGGTAGAACAGGACATCTGAGAGGACATTGGACCTCTAAGAGGCTAAAACCCAGCCTGGGAGAGGGTTGGAGCTTTTAAACCCTGGAGCCAGCAGCTGTGGCCAGTATGAGCCAATTAGGGCCCAGCTGAGAGCTGTATAAACAAGGAGGGAGAACAAACCCTCTTGCTTTAGCTGTGGAGTAGGAGGGGCTAGGCTGCTAGAGAAGCAGGAGGGTTTCTGGAGGTAGAGCAGGCCTGGGGAAGGCAGGCAGAGCTGGGGCCCTCTGGCCAGGTGAGCTCCCAGTCTGCAGGGCCTGGGACAAGGCCTCAGGGTACCAGGACTGCAGGGAGGTGGCCAGGGCAGGTGAAGGCAGCAGGTCCCCACCCCCTTGCCAATGCTCAGTTGCCATGGCTGGTTGCTTCTGAGGCAGGGATTAGAAGATGAAGGGCCGTGGGGGAAGCTGGGCATAGGGACTTGGGGGTACCCAGAGAGAGCAGACCCCAGAGTCTTGGGGTACTGTAGAAGGGCAGCGGGGCTGCCACATAGGAGAGATTCCAGTGCTACCCTGACGATCAGCAGAGCTTGTATGGCCAGCAGCAGGTGTTTCTATGGGAGGTGCACATTTGCACATGCCTCTGTGCACATCACAAAACGTATTCCCCCCATACTATTTTACCAGGTCATTAGAGCAGTGCAGTTGGGGTGAAGACCTATATTCATTACCCACCCTTCTCCTCCCTCCTGCCTCAGGCTGTGGGGAAGTTGTCAGTCTTCCACCTTGTAAAGAAACGCCTTAGTCTGTGGAGTCCTCTCCACAGAAGATCTCCCAAGTCTGTTCTCTCCCTCTCTCTCCTCTCCTGTGTCTTTTCATATGTGCAGCTGTGAAAGAGGCAAATAATCACTGAGCCAGGAAATTGAATTCAATCTCCTGCAGACAACACACATGGGCTATGTCTAGACTGGCATGAATTTCCGAAAATGCTTTTAATGGAAAAGCACTTTTTGTGGAAAAGCGTCCATGGCCAATCTAGACGCGGTTTTCTGCAAAAAAGTCCCGATCGCCATTTTCATGAGTGTGGCTTTTTTGCAGAAAACAATACTATGCTGTCTACACTGGTCCTTTTGTGCAAAAGTCTTTCGTGCAGCATAGTATTCCTGGAAAAGCACTGATGATTTTACAGGAGATCGTCAGTGCTTTTCCGGAAATTCAAGCGGCCAGTGTAGACAGCTGGCAAGCTTTTCTGGATGATTTTGCTAAAAAATTTGCAAGTCTAGACACAGCCATAGAATCAAAGAACCATAGAGCTGGAAGAGACCTCAGAAGGTCATCAAGTCCAGCCCTCTACCCAAGGCAGGACCAATCCCAACTAAATCAACCCAGCCAGGGCTTTGTCAAGCCGGGACATTAAACACCTCTAAGGATGGAGATTCCACACCCTCCCTAGATAACCTATCCCAGTGCTTCCCCAGCCTCCTATGGAAATAGTTTTTTCCTGATATCCAACCTAGACCTCCCCCACTGCAACTTGAGACCATTGCTCCTCGTTCAGCCATCTGCCCTCACTGAGAACAGCCTCCCTCCATCCTCTTTGGACCACCCCCCCCCCCCCCAATTAAAATATATTTTCCACAAACTTACAGTAGGAAGTCAGTGCTTTTGCAGAAATTCAAGTGGCCATTGTAGACAGCTGGCAAGTTTTTCCGGAAAAGCGACTGATTTTCCAGAAAAACTGGCCCGTCTAGACACAGCCAAGGTGTGACCTCCATGCCCTATATTCTACATTGTAATTTTATCAGGAGATAATTAATGCATAACTCTGCAGCTTTTTTGCAAGATGGGTCATATCATAGGAAAAGTTATGGTTTGCTGAATTTGATTCTCCTATGTCTACGAATGTATTGATTGTCACATCTAAAGATGGGAACATTGACTATATAGCTGCATTTGAGATGCAGTTTCACCTGATAAAGTCCCACTTGGAAATACGCTTGCAGTCCAGATAACTGTTTATAAAGGGTCTATGCAGGGTAACGAGCCATTAGGGAAACAACGGTCCTTAGGAAAAGCTTCACTCCTCTCTGGTGAGACTTGCTGAGAACACCTCAGAGAGCCCATCATTAAAAGTTGCAAAGACTCTCCAAGGCCAGGGGACCGGGCCCTGTGTCTCTAGACTCCGTATGGGGATGTCTGTATTTTTCCACACACGGGTCTGCGAGCCAAGGTTTGAGACAAGAGTCTCCGCCCTATGCGAAAGCTTTATATGAGAGGGCACAATCTCATTGTTTCTTCTTCACAAGCCACGCAGGAGGACTCCTGGAAAGATCTCAGTCACCAACGCTCCGGTAGCTACAAGACCCAGGCTAATGTGATGTCTAACCTGCGGATGGAAACCCGAGAAACCCAACCAGCCATGAAATTTCAGCTTGTGCCTTGAGAATCTTCCCATTTCCTTGTATCACCGTCCGTCAGGGTGAGAAACTGCTTGTGCATTGTCAGTCTAACCAATGTGTTATTGTCAGTCTAACCAATGTGTCGGTATTTTGGAATATCTGCTGGTAACCTGCTCTGATCTGTTTACAGTCCACTATAATCTTTTGTCGTTAATAAACTTGTTTGTAGCTTTGCCTAAACCATTGCACCTTGCCGTGACGTGTCTGGGTTAAATATTTCTCAGGAGTAGAGGAGTGAGTCTGTAACAGGGAAAACTTTTAAAAAACCATCAAATAGTCTAGTAGCACTTTAAAGACTAACAAACCATGTAGATGGGATCATGAGTTTTCGGGAGCACATCCCACTTCCTCTGGTTAGCACAAGTGTGCATGTTCCTCTCCTCGCTGAGGGAGGTGCGAATCAAGGAACAAAATCCTACTGCTCCGTTTTTTCACTAGGTCATGGCAATACAGCTCTGGCGATCTAGGCTGTGAAACTGGTGGTCATCTTGACTAACTTTTCTATGGTTGATTCATACAGGCACCGGTCAAAGAGCCGGCATATACCTGCAGGCAAATGTGTCCCTACCTGTGTGAATGCTGAAGAAAGGGTAGAAACGGGAGCATTTCTGTAGCTTGCAATGTCAGCACAGTGAGAGAGGCTGGCCAAACAGGTGGGTCAGAGGGTTCAGAGGAACCCCTCTTCCAGGTAGCCCCCAGCGGAATCCATCACTGACATTTCATAGCAATACATGTCTGAGAAAACAAGGAATTGCTCTCAGATGCACAAGATAAGAATGGCCATAGGCATTAATCTCTTGTTGCTATTATTCCAGCTGATCTACACAGCTAATACAACACGTTAGAAGATATTTTTATTGCGTTCCAAATTGTATGTGCATTAATTGTCTTTAAA